AAATCTTGGCTTCATTGGCTCAAGGTTATACCCGAAAAGGTTCTTCAAGCCGTAGCAGGTGTTTTGCCCGCCATTGTGCTCAGTATTTTGCTATCATTGGTACCAACAATTTTGGGATACCTTGCCTTTGTTCAAGGTTCACAAACTGGCAATGAGAAGCAAGGCTTGGTTCAAACTTATTACTTTGCATTTCTCTTTGTCCAAGTTTTCTTGGTTGTGTCCATCGCGGGTGGTGCGGTAGCTACGATTGGATCATGGTCCAATGATATTACTTCTATACCCGAAACACTTGCACAACAATTACCAAAGGCGGCGAATTATTTCTTCTCTTACATGATTCTTCAAGCATTTTCTGTGAGCTCGGGTACACTCCTACAGTTAACGACTCTCATTTTCTGGTTTGTTTTACCCAAGATTTTCGACAATACTGCTCGACAAAAGTGGACCAGAAATACAACACTTCCATCGGTGACATGGGGATCCTTCTTCCCTGTTTACACTAATTTTGCCTGTATTGGTTTAATCTATTGTGTGGTTACGCCGGTTATCATAATTTTCGTCATTATTACATTCACGCTTCTTTGGATTGCGAATCGTTACAATATGCTTTATGTCTCTCGATTCAGGATTGACACAGGAGGACTTCTATACCCACGTGCTATCAATCAGACATTTACTGGTTTGTATGTGATGGAATTGTGCCTCATCGGTTTGTTCTTCTTGACTCAGGATGAGCAAGGTGATTCACTTACTCCTCAGGCGATCATTATGATTGTTGCTTTATTACTCACTGCTCTTTACCAATTCCTGCTCAATTGGTCTTTTGGTCCTTTACTTCGATATCTGCCAATCACATTTGAGGATGAAGCTGTCCTTCGTGATGAAGCATTCGATCGGATACAAGCCGAACGTCTTGGTCTCACTATTGCAGATCCTGAAACGGTACCACAGAATGATGGAGCTGGTATTGAAGGACCAGGATACATTGAAATGGACGCACTACACCCTACAACCACCAATCGAAACAGCGGTAGTAAATTTGCCAAACTTAAACCATCAAATCTTGTACATGGTGCTGCTGTAGCTGGCGGTTGGGCTTTACAATCCGGTCGAAATCTTCGACACAAAACATTTGCCCGTGGAACTGGCACCGATGGTCCTCAACCTATCGATGAACCGGTTGTTCGTCCACAGCTCACGCGCAAACGACGTCATAGAGATATTGAGGCGCAGCAAAAAATCGCAAATGCACTTTATGGTGGGTATAATGATGAAATTGAAGATTTGGCACCGGAAGAAAGAGATGCTCTTGTTAAACATGCGTTTCAACATTATGCGTTGAGGGCTAGGAGACCAGTGGTTTGGATTCCGAGAGATGATATTGGGGTTAGTGATGATGAGGTGAAGCGGACGAGAGATTATGCAGGAGCGAATATTTGGATTAGTAATGTGGGAGCGGCGTTGGATGCGAAGGGGAGAGTGGTGTATGGGAGGAATCCGCCGGATTTCTCGGAGGTGGATTTGATTACGTTGTAATTATTTTGTGGCTGTGTAGTGAGGGCAAAATTTAAAATGGGTGGGATTGAGAGGGGAATGAATATTGGGGAGAAATGGCGTTGGAGTTTCTGTATATGAGGGGTAGGGGAGGGATATGGTACATGGGTGCTTTTTGGATTTTACATATTTAACGATGGGAGGAGAAGACTTTGAGCTGGAGATGGAGATGGAGATGGTGGTTGTGGTTGTGTATATGGATTGAGCGGGTCGTTAATAGATTATTCATTCATGTGTGTGTGGGAAACGGCCGGATAGCATAGAAGGAGCATAATTTACTGATAGACAGGCAGGCAGACAGACAGACAGGCAGACAGACAGACAGACAGACAGACAGACAGACAGACAGACAGAGAGAGAGAGAGAGAGAGAGAGAGAGAGAGAGAGAGAGAGAGAGAGAGAGAAGAGAGAGAGAGAGAGAGAGAGAGAGAGAGAGAGAGAGAGAGACTCTGGATAGTATGGGATGAGAGCTGGGGGATTGGAGTAGTGTTGGGTTGAATAGATGGGAGTGGAGATGGAGATGGAGAGGTGAGGTGGAGATGAAGACTTTAGATACCCGTTTTCTTTTTGATAGGATGGATGGATTTGGAGATAGAGGGAAGGGGAGGGGGAGATAGAGGGAAGGGGAGGGGGAGATAGAGGGAAGGGGAGGGGGAGATAGAGGGAAGGGGAAGGGGAGAAAAGGGAGGAAGATTACATACATACATACATACATAGTCGTGTACATAGAAATCCAAAATATCTTTCTGAAATGTCTATCTTGTCTTTTTTCATTGGAATAGGTATTTCTGATGATTGTTAATTGTGAGTTGTGAGTTGTGAATTGTTTTGTTTGTGGAGAGAGGGGATAGGATGGGATAGGGTAGGATGGGATGGGGGTAAAGTAGGGTGGAATGGGATGGGGTAAAGTAGGGTGGGGTAAAGTAGGGTAGAGTAGGATGAGGTAGGGTAGAGTAGGGTAAAGAGTGGAATAGGATAGAGTGGAATAGAGTGGAATAGGATAGGATAGAATAAAGAATTCTTTTTGAATTGATAGGGTTGAGAGTTGTTTTTATAGTGGTGGTGGTGGTGGTGGTGGTAGTTGTTTATTGTTATTGTTGTTGTTATTATTGTTGTTTTGGGTGGGAGAGAGGGGAGAGATAGGGGAGAGGTAGAGGGAGGTAGAGGGAGTGAGGAGAGGAGAGGGAGAGGAGAGGGAGAGGGAGAGGGAGAGGGAGAGGAGGGGAGAGGAGAGGGAAAGGAGAGGGATAGGAGAGGGAGTGAGGAGAGGAGGGTAGAGGGAGGTAGAGGGAGAGGAGGATAAGAGACAGTGGGGTTTGATTTGATTGGATCGGATTGGGGAGTTTGGGTTTAGAATGATGGGTTTTTATTGATGGGTTTAGGATGATGGGTTTTAGAATGATTGGGTTTTAGAATGATGGGTTTTAGAATGATGGTTTTAGAATAATGGTTTAAGGATGATGGTTTTGAATTATAGATTGGGGAAAGTATGGGATAGGGGTAGGGGGGTAGAGGAGGGTAGAGGGAGAATAGGGAAATGGAGAATAGAGAATGGAGAATGGAGAGATGTTTTTTTTTGAGGGGTTTGTTTGGGAGGTTTGTTTTTGAGGGGTTTGTTTTTGAGGGGTTTGTTTTGGGGAGGTTTAAAGAGGTTTGGGGAAATAGGAATGGAATAGAAATGTTTTGTCATTTTTGGATAAATGGATGGGTAGGTGGGTATAGGTGATGGAGGTAGGAGTGTGAGGGGTTTAGAGGGGAGGGGAAAGGGGGGGAGGGGGTGGAATGAAAGAGGAAAGAGGATGGAGCTTCTTGCGGGGGCGCGCGGCTCGCGGCGGCTGGCCTGGCCTGTCGGTCGCTAGGTCGACTAGGTAGGTAGATAGATAGGTATAGATGTGAATAGCAGGAGAGAATAGGAGAGCGAAAGATAATATAAATGTAAGCACTGATATGAATAGAATGGACTGTACTAAATGAATAATATATCAGAATTGAATTGATTATCAAATCTTTCAAGAAAGGATTTCTGCTTTGAAAGTGAAATATAAATAGAAATAGAAATGGAAATCTAAAATCTGGAATGAATGGTTGTGTTATGTATAATGTGGAATGTGTTCTGTTGGAGATATCTCTTGGGAATTTTTGTCTCTTGACGAGGAGGATAGGGGGAGAGAGGGGAGAGGAGAGGAGAGGAGAGAAGAAATAGATTGTTCCTGAGATTTTATATTTAATATTTATAGTATTTTATTAAGAATTCTGCTCTTATGATGATGGCTGTGATTATGACTGTGATTATGGCTGTGATTATGGCTGTGATTGTAATATGAGAATAGAAAAATAGGAAAATAGGAAATAGAAAATAGATAGATAGATACCTAGTAGATAGTAAGGAATGATTGGATTGAGATTACTAGGTGATTCTTTGGATATTGGATATTGGAAACTTTTGCTTTGTACGAAGGGGTAGAGTAGATCTTACTAGGTAGATAGATCTAGATACCTAGTATGATGTAGAAGAAGATTGGAAATGGTGAATGCGTACGAGTAGTAGAAGATGATTAATGATGGAAAAGGAGAGGAGAGAGGAGGGAAAGAAACTGGAAATCATTCTGTTCTTGATATCTCAATTACAAGAGTTCTGCCCCCATGGCAGTGGCCTTGGATAACCTAGAAATAAGGGAGACGGCGGAGAGATTGTGTGAATAGAAGGATATAAAATGAAGAATAAACAAAATTGATTTTTCCCCCCTCATAATATATATTCTCCCTCGGAGACGCGGCGGATGGTGGAGGAAGAAGAAAAAGAAAAGGAACATTACTTTCAGTTATTGGCTATGGGTGAGAGGGGGAGGCGGCGGAGAGGTTGAGTGCATATAGAGATAGAAGATGAGAAATGATTATAGGAATATTGCTGCAATAAATGAAAATTAATCTTTCTCTAACAAGATATATTCTGCCTCCACGGCAGTGGCCCCCGGAGGGCCAGCGGAGCGTCGTCATTACAAAAGTCCCTCGAAATTGAAAAATCATTGTGAATCATTGAAATATGATCTTTCTTAAAGGTACAATATAACACTTATTATAAGGGTTTTCGTATCTTGAACATTTGTTTATATCTTTGATACTTACATTATATACATTCACTAGACCTCACTGTCGACTGAAGATTGATATGATAAGAGGTTAGGTTCTGAGGCATCTCCAAAATTCCAACCCTGCACGGTCCTCCAGATCTCGCTTCGATGATCACATGATCAAGTTAGGGTTTTCCAAATTTCCCACTATTTCGCGATTAAGCCTGCGCTGCTCATCGAAAAAAAGTCGAGATATTGAAACCAACGACAACCCCACGACAACCCCAAGGTACGTTATCGCCAATTTGTGTGCCATCATCCGTTTTACTGTCTGGACAATCGCTGACAATTTAATTCAACAGTTCCTAATTCAAAATGAGTGCGTAACCTTCGAATCTCGATATATCACATATCAACAACCAACGAGAATATCAATACTGATGATGATTTGAATTACAGCCAAGGGAACTTCCAGTTTCGGAAAGCGTCACAACAAGACGCACACTTTGTGCAGACGTTGCGGTTAGTTTTAAATCCAATCTTTTGCGACGGAGAGAGGAGGAAATGATGAAGTCGGGGATCAGGAGATGGACAATTGATCAAGGACTTATTTTTAATGGATTTGGGATGAGGTTCAAGAAGAAGAATTCAAGGCTGATATATTCTGGTTTCAATTTATAGGTCGCAGATCTCTCCACATCCAAAAGCACACCTGTTCAGGATGCGGTTACCCAGCAGCCAAGACCCGTCAATGTACGTTTACTCCATCCATTCATCTTTTACCACCAAATCGATTCAGAAATATCCACGATATACTCCTACCTCCAATTCATCGATACACGAAGGAGAAATGAAAAGATGCACAACCATACGAATATATGCTAATATATCATTGAATAAATATAACTGGGGTGAGAAGGCCAAGAGAAGAAAGACCACCGGTACCGGTCGCATGCGTCACATGAAGGAAGTTCCAAGAAGATTCAAGAATGGATTCCAAACCGGTGTACCAAAGGGAGCTAGAGGACCAGCCACTAAATCCGAGTAAATGTTTACAACAATTTGGTTTGCTTGCGTGGGATGGATTCAATAGCGTCGAAAGGGTTGGCGAATGAATGGCTTTTTTGATCTGCTAGAGAACTGGGAATGAAAGCTACATTTATTGAGAAATCTCTTTTTTAATGAGTGTATGCGAAGTTCAACAAAAAACTCGGGTCGCATGAATGTCTTCGTGGATCGTATGAGGGTATGAAGTGGGTTGGGTGCATGCCAATTTTTTTTAAAGACATGACATTACATGACATGTTCTCTAGCAAAAATTCCATCGTTTGCAATTCAAAGAATTTTGTTATGATGAGAATTATTTCTTTGTGATATGTGAGGTTTGGAGTTTGTGAAGTTTATGTGCGGGTTTGGATTTATGGATTGAAATATGGATTTTGTGATGAATGAGAATGTGAATGGGAAATTGATATTGGGAAGGAAGATACAATGATGAACGATGAGTGAGGTATGACGAATGACGAAGGGTTAAGATATCTATTTCTCTTTTGCAGATCAATTGTTTTACAATCCTTGTCTTTAATGTTTATGTGCGAATAGGTGTGTCTAGTAGGTGGTAGGTGGTAGGTGGTAGGTGGTAGGTGGTAGGTGGTAGGTGGTAGGTGGTAGGTGGTAGGTGGTAGGTGGTTAGATGGTATGGTTAGATGTTAAGGTAAGATGGTATGGTTAGATGTGTATGGTATGGTATGGTATGGTTAGGTGGTAGGTGGTAGGTGGTTAGATGGTTAGATGGTATGGTATGATATGGATGGTATGGATGGTATGGATGGTATGGATGGTATGGATGGTATGGATGGTATGGATGGTATGGATGGTATGGATGGTATGGATGGTATGGATGGTATGGATGGTATGGATGGTATGGATGGTATGGATGGTATGGATGGTATGGTATGGATGGTTTTGTATAATGATAGGTGGTAGGTGTAAGTGGTGTGTATATGGAATGATGGTATGAATAATATAAATGGTCTGGTATATAGCATTAATAAACAAATGGATAAACAGATGGGTAGGTAGATATCTAAATATTCAAATATTTAAATATCTATATATTAGTATAACTACTTATAAGTATCCATACTCGAGATTGGATATCTGATATCTGAAAATTGGAAGAAGTGGAATTTGGGAGATGGGAGATGGGAGATGGGAGATAGGAGATGAAGCTTGATATACAATAAGATAGGAAGTGTGGTCTGCAAGGAACTTGGAAAGGGATTGGAAGGGAGATGGGAAATGGGAAATGGGGAGTGAGGAAAGGGAAGGGAAGGGAAGTGAAGGGAAATGGGAAGGGAATTCGAATGATATGGTATGTATGGGGTGTGGGATGGGATGGGATGGGATGGGATGTAGCAGTATATAGTAGTATATAGCAGTCCACGGGTATAGTAAGTAAGTAGGATATATCAATATATCAAATGGATTGATTGATTGATTAATTGGTTGGTTTGTTGGGGTAGTGAGGAGAGGTAGGAAATAGGAGGTGGGTGGGTGGGAGGTGAGTGAGAGGTGGGTGGTGGGTATGTGTTGGGTGTGTATTGGGTATATATATTGATGGTATATATATATTAGTTGTGTATGATGGTATATACTTAGCGTATGTTATAGTATTTATCTTTCTGTATAATGATTACTTATTTATTCATCTATTTATTTATTTATTTATAATCACAATATAAGATAGATAGATGCTAGATAGATACTGAGAATTTGATATCTTTTGGTGTCTTTTGATACCGAGATGTGTTTGTGTATTTTTCTGCTTTGTTTTGCTTTGCTTTTCTATAATAGACTGGGGCTAGATAGAATGAGATTGTATTGGATTGTATGCCCCTTCTCTTCTCGGGACGTTGATCTATCTCATCACTTTATGTCGGAAACTTCAGCATCGAATCGGTAAACTCATACTCATCACCCCTCGCCATTTATAAAAATGAAAATAAAAATACAAATTTCATCTCTCACCACCCTAACCTTTATCCATATCCATATTCATATCCATATCCTCAATCCATCCCTCCCACCCACCACCTACTGACCCCTCTCAAAAACCCTCACACTCCCATCCCCACCCACAAAATACAAAAGTTCTTTTTCCTCTACTCCCTCCTTCCCCTCACTCGGATTCCCACCCGCTGTAATACGCAATACTCCACTTACATCTCTCGCCGCGCCTGTATCGAGCAGTCGCGTGCTGAGAATCAAATCTGCTTCGTGCGCGAGGGTGGTGGTGAGTGCGGAGGTGTTGGTTGCGAGGGGTGTTTGGGGTTGCGAAGAGAGGAGTGGAGTATCGATTGAGAGGGTGAGGATGGTAGAGTGGGTGGATGGGAGAGAGCGGAGAGAAAGGAGGAGGGAAGATAATTCTTGAGTGGTGGTTTCAGGGGTGGGGGTACTGGCGATGAGGAAATCGGGGGAGTCGAGGATGAGGATTATTTTTGTGGGGGGGGAGGGGGAGGAGAGGGTGGTGATGGCTTTGGTGAGGAGTTGGGAGAGGGAGGGGAGGAGGGGGGATTTGAGGGGGGTTCCTGCTCCTGGGGTGGGTGGTTGGGTTTGGGGGAGGTGGAGAGAGCTGAGTCCGTCGAGGAAGAGAAAGCGGGATTGTTGGGTTAGTTTGTCGAGGTCGAGATTCTGGGTGGGATGTTAGTGAGGATTTTGAGGATAGATTGGAAGTGGAAGAATGAAAAGTGGTTGGTAGGAGGAGAGTGATTTGAGGTCGAGGGTTAGAGAAGCTTTTCTTCATATTTGTTGATTTCTCCTCTCGCTTGAGAAAATTGATGAATCATAGTATAGGTAGGGTAGAAATACAACTTTGTATCCCCCTCCTAAATTGCTCGAATATCTCCAAACTCGTACATCTCCTTCAAACAACCTTCGTTTCTCTCCTCCAATACCCAATGCCGTGAGAAACAGAAAGATCCCCCCCCTTCAAAAAAACAAAAAAACAGTAGAAAAAAAAACATACAATCTTCCTAGCTCCCTCTCTCCAAAACCCCATATCCCTCATGAAACTCAAAAATACCACTTTGACCTCGCCCTCTCCTTCTGTATCTGCATCTCCACTTCCATTTTTCTCCGCCCCAGATGAAAATATCGAACTTAAATATCTTAATAAAAGCCAATTTGTACCCGCGCCCAATACACCTGTGAGGAGAATCAAAGAGGATTCTGAGGGGAGAGAGAGATAGGGTGTTAAGAGGGGTGGGATGGAACGGGTGGTGGTGGACATGGTTTTTTGGTTTTGGTTTTGCTAAAGTGTGTGTGTGTGTGTGTGTGTGTGTGTGTGGTGATGGGATTTGGGGGATTATATTTGAGGCTTTGGAGGTTGGTGGTGTAGTGGTATTTTGTGGATGGTTGGATGGTTGGATGGTTGGTTGATTGATTGTGTTTTGGATTTTGGATTTTGGATTTGAGATTGAGATTGGATGAGGGTTTATGTCTTTATGTTTGGTGTGATTCAATCTGATATGATATGATATTCAAAAGTAAAAAAGATATAAGAATTACAGGCACGTGAGAAGATGCTGAGATTGAGGAAATAAAATTTGGCGGGCACGGCGGGGATGATGATGTACGATATGGATGGATGGTGGGGTTTGGATTGAAGCTTTTTGTAAGCGAAAAGATGTGGTTGAAAATTGTATTTGGAGGTTTTGATCTGGATATTGATATTGGTGATGGATGAATGAATGAGAATTTAATGAAGAAATTGGATAGATGTTGATATTTACGAATATCATTGTATATATATCTAGGTAGGTAGTAAGAGATGAATACTCTGGATATATATGTTATTGTAGAACACTTGAAGAAATCATGGAAATATAATTATCCTTCATTTCAATTTCTTTAGAATCAAAGTGCTTTGGGAAACTAGGACGTGAGCTCACCGGAAGCAAGGCAAGTTCAAGATTGTATCAAGGACATTACTTTGGACTGGACTTATTTCTAACTTCTACTTCAATCAATTGACTGTTTAACTAACACTCTCTTGAATTCCTATGATACATTGATTGATCAAGCCCTCGGATTTAAATATAAAAGAATGTATAATTTGTTTTCTATATTGCATCTGCTCCGTCTAGCTCTCTATTTCATCTACTTACTATCTACTCCCTCTACTTCAACTACTTCAACTATTTTATGTACTTCATCTATTCCCTCTACTCCGTCCTACCTCATCCTCTCTCTCCTCCTCCTGCTTCTCATCAACAACATCATCAAAGAGCTCCAACCCGTGGGGTCCATCTACCTACCCAGCTAACCCTACCCTACCTCCTACCAAGCTATGAATGCCATGTCATCTAGCTCATAGCTCTTAGCTCTTAGCTCCAGCAGAACCTATCTATCCCATACAAAAATCACAGGAACTTCCACGGGCGGATTCAATTCGGAGCATCCAAAGCTTGACTGTACTACCGGTACATAAGAGTGGAGAAATCCCATTGCGTTTTTCGGAGTTTGAGAAATCCTCTCAGAAATCGGTTGGAGCGATTAGAAATCTCCTTGCATCCATACCTATCGGTAAGGAGGGGCTATGATGATGATGAACAAATAGAAGGGAGGTATTGTCGATGAAGTGTATAGGTAGGTAGGTACGAGTATACAACTCACAATACGAGTATCATCTATGGAAATAAATTGATGTGATGTTTATAAATCTACAATTCCAAGTCATACATCTAGACGACCTTGGATTTTTCCGGATAATTTCCCATCCATCCGAGTAGAAGGTGTAAAGGAGGTTATATATTTATATTTTATTTTATATCAGAATCAGATTATTTATTGTAAAATAGATACGAGAGTACAGACACAAATTCAAATCAAGTATCTACTGGTACCATCTGAAGAAAAGCAAGCTCAGCTCAAAAAGACCCCGCATCAATCCAATCCCGACCATATCGCCGATTTGTAGAATACCTTACGTCGGAGTTGCGTACTCGGGTTAAGATTCGCGAGAGAGCTTCTTTTGATTCTATACTTGATTCTGGTCTTTACTATATACATTGCATTACATACATTGTATATATCATCACATCACATCACATTACAATCCATCACGACACGACACGACGTCTTCCAACCATTGTCGAGAGATACCTTACTCACTCACTCACTCACTCACTCACCACAACATCATCCAACAACCTCACACCCTTCTTTACCCCAACTCACCTCTCTATACTCCTCACCACCAATACCAGTACCAGCATCACCACCACCACCACCTCCAAAATGTGGACAAACCCTCGTTCTCCCTCTCCCAAAATGTGGTCACCACGCAATCCCCCTCCTCAATCCTCCCACCGATCCTCCCACTCCCAATCCCATCCCTTCTCTCCCCTCTCCCCTCTCACTCCCTCCGGTCCCTCAGGAACCTTTCCCGCTCCAACCCAAAAATTAAAGAATCAAGGAAAACGCATCGCGCAGATTGTGAAAATTAAACCGGAATGCGTGGAATTGTACAAGGAGTGTCATGCACGGGTTTGGCCCGAGGTATTGAAACAGATTAAAGAGTGTTATATGGAGGATTGTATGTTTATTCCCTCCCTTCTTTCCTTCCCCTTCCTCTTCTTTTTCCTTTCTCCCATCCTCGAAACAAGCAAGCAATCAATCAATCATCAAATAAACCCAACAACTAACCCCCATCCAGATTCCATCCACTACGACCCCCACCACAACCTCCTCTTCGCATCATTCAAATACGTAGGCTATGACTACGCAGGGGACATGGAGAAGATGCGCGAAAACCCCAAGGTGCGCGAGTGGTGGGCCATGACGGATTCGTATCAGGAGAGTTTGGTCGAGGGCAGCACGGGGAGTACGGATGAGAGGGGCTGGTGGAAGGGCGTCGAAGAGGTGTTTTATGTTGCTTGATGTGGGTGGGAAGGAAGGGAGGATAGGTGACTTGTCTGTATCTGTATATTCTGAGGATGAGGAATATGTGATGTGATTGGATGTGTTGTGATTGGATGAGATGGGATGAGAAGGGATTGAAATCACGATTATGATGGCAATTGAAAGAGAAACAGAAACAGAAACAGAAACAAGAAACAGAAGACAAGCGAAAAGAAGTGCAAAGCATGCAGAGAACAGCAGAATAAAAATCCCAAATATAAGACAACATATGATAATACGATCTAACATGATCTTCATTTCACGCTTGAAAGAAAGACAATGTCACAAGTCAGAGAAGTTCATGAAAACACGATTGATTCAATGATTCGAGTATATAGGTATTTCTGATGTTGTACTTCAATTGCATTCTTTTGCTCTCATCTTCGCTTTTCTCCCTCCAAATCCCTCTCCCCTTCCCCTTCCCCTCCTATTCTCCCCACTCAACCGTCTCCAATTTCCCCCCCTTTCAAAACAACGCTCCGCTGGCCCTCCGGGGGCCATTGCCATGGAGGCCGACTATTTAACTACTCATCTATCCATCCATCCATCCACCTATCTAACTCCCCAACTCATTAATTAAATCAAATAATCAAATAATCAAATAAAACAAATAAACAAAAAATCATCATCTCGAGCGCAGCGAGCTAGGGGGTTTGGGGGCTTGCCCCCATTATTGTTTAGGTTGTATACCTAGTAATGTAGATGGATGAGTGGATGGGTGGATGGGGGGTGAGTTGATGGGGGGTGAGATGTGTGATATGCTTGTGTGTGATGTGAGATATACTTGTGTGAGATATACTTGTGTGAGATATGAGATATATGTTTATTATTAATATATGGGAGGTTAGGGGAGGGGTGTATGTTGTATAGATCGGTTGATGCGGTGGATATATATATATATATATATATATATGTGAATTTTGGAGCCATTTGAGTTGATTATATGATATGATATGGGAATATCTGATATAAATATATATAACCACAAAGCGAATACCAAATCATCTATTTATACATAAAAACAAAAACAAACACCTCCCCCTCATTTCCCCCAACCCTTCCACAACCCCCCAAAAAGTCCCTCTCCCCCCGGATGCCCCTCTCTCCACTCGCGCCCTCTCCTCGCCGCCCCCCTCACCCACTCCTCCAACCCCTCCCTCCCCAATTCCTGAATCTCTCTACTCCCCAACCGCTCCCCCTCCCCACCCATCACCTCTCCCCTCCAAAACCCCACTAGACTCGGTACACTCCTCACCATATACCTCATCCCCAAGCCCTCACTCATCACATCCGGCGCATCATATTCCACCTCGGCAAACAGCACTCCGCCTTCCTGTTCTCCCACTCCCGCTTCGAGGATTTGGTGGAGGAGAGGAGAGATGCTTTTGCAGGTGGAGCAGTAGCTTGTGGTCCATAGCGTCAATAGAGGTTTGGAGCTGGAAGTGCTGAGACTGATGTATGTAGCTAGGTCGGGGGGATAGCGGACTCTTTTTTGAGGTTAGGTTGGGTGGTCTTTTCTCGATTTGATATTATGGGAGTAGGAATGGGAATGGGGATGAGAAGAGAAAGAGAAAGAGGAAACATCACATACGCAGAATATATCCGATTCTGATCTTTCTTCGAAGCGCTGCTGGCGAATGGTCTCCGCGAGTTTGTGCGGGAGAATGTAGATGGAGATGGAGATGGAGATGGAGAGATAGATAGAGATGCAGATATAGCTCTAGAGATTGATGACGAGCGCTTGGAAAGCGAACGTGGTATGTGTTTGAGATTTGATGGTGTCATTGTGATATTGTATCGTTTCGTTTCGTGTTGTAGGTATGTCTGTGTTGATATACATACAATTGATTGATGTTTCTAGCAATCGCGTATTTGAAAGTTTAGAAGTTTGACTTTGCGATTCTTGATTCTCAATTCTCGATTCTTAATTCGATACAACACTCGTATATCCAAAATCCAAAATCCAAAATCCAGAAATTCCTCGATTCCTCTTCAAGCTACGTATTCCCGAGCTCGAGATTCTATATGCGATTCGATTCAATTCGTATAATTAGATGGTAAACAAAATATTCAATCGTACAGAGTAATAGATAGATAGATAGATAGATATTAATGCTTTATCAATCAATCAATCAAGCTTCAAGTATTTTTACCACTCTATCAGGCACTTCATAGCAACGCTACCTACGAGTACCTAGGTACAAACTCGTAGCTATGATACTATGACATAATTTTCGCTCCCCGCAGAGCTAAACCTAATTCAGTTGGGATATATGAAGACATGAATACTTAATATGAATACTCGATATGAATATTATAAACGAGTATAGAAGCTAAATAGATAGATACAAATAAATATATTTTATATACTCGTATTCTATTACAATTTTAAGTTATAGAATTTAACTTAAAGAAGAGATGAGATTAGTTATAGAAATAGAAATAGAGAATATAATATAATATAAGATAATATCTATCTATTTCTCTACTATATTGAATATCTAAAGAAATATAGAATATACTAATCGAGTAATATTTATTACTAATTCTTTCTTATATTATATTATATTATATTATCTAGATAAACTTAATCAACTCAACTCAACTTACTATAGTATAATATAATATACTCAATCTAGATATAAATCTCATATTCTACCTTTTCTATCTCTTCTACCTCTCACCTCTCTTACCTCTCCCATCTATTCACCTCTCCATCTATTCATCTATTCATCCCCTCCTCTCTTCATCCCCCCTCTCTACTAAATACTAAATACTAAATACTAAATACTAAATACTAAATATGTTACGGTCAATCCATGTAAGAGCTGGCGAGGGCACATAAGTAGCCCCTACAGGGCTATTTCAGGCCAACGCCAACCCGCGTACAATTATAAATTATAGAATTTTCATAATTTAAAAGGATTAATAAAAAGTCTTTATGCTACATTATACCTAATTGATTTATTATTATTATCTATTCTAACAATTCTTTTCATTTCTTTATATAAAACAATCCATCAACTATTTCTTAATCAAGCAATTATCAGTATCACTATAGTTTCAATAAGAAGAACACTTATCCTAAGGGAAAAGCGGGATACCTGTAGTATAACTCAAAATTAATCCGGTGAAACTATCAATCAATTCCTGCAGAATATCAGCAGCAATACCTATTCGGCCCAATTGCACCCTCTTAGTAACAATGAGGATGTGTCGTTAGCCTAACAACTTAAAGAAATAAAAGAAGAAATAATAATTATAAAAGAAGCTTACAGGGTGACTATGGACCACATCTTATATACAACCACCCCGGTCGAGCATAACCGATCTACAGCTGTACCAAATGCAATCCACCAGGGTATCAACCTTAATTGAAGAAAACTATTGAAATTGTAGAAATTGAAATAATACAAAGAAAAGAATATTAAGAAAGCTAAAAACTTCTTTTTCCAGGCAGAAATCATATTTTGAAGCAATGGTGGGTATTATTTTCCTATTGATACTAAGAAAATAGAATATATCATCCAATACTTTGAACAGTAGCCCCTAGCGATTTGACATCAATATATAAATGAATCAAGTTACAAAAAAATAAACTAGAAAAACTTCAGAGAATATATATATAACATTATTATAAATAAAGAAACTAGATAGTGATAAGTAATTTAAAAGATTATATATACAAAATAAAAAAAAAAAGAAACTGTAAATACATTTATAATCTACCTAAAAGACCTTAAAAAGGATATCGAGCAGGAGGCGGAAAGTGTTCGGGTCAAAAAGCTCTTAGCGAATCTATTATCTAGTATAACCAGAAAAATATCGGAATCCTTACAATAATCTAAATCGTATAATAAATTTATAAAACAAGTCTGTAGACTAGAAAGTATAAAGAAATTATTCTAAAAAAAAAATATAAAGAATTTATATCAATCCTGTAAGTATAACCAATCACTTTTTCGATATCGAAATCTATTTAAATATTTCTATCTGAAAAACAATTTGATTTTAATTATTAAAATAGAGATTTAAGAATCAAATCAATTTTTTTAAGAAGAATTCTTCAAGATATCAAGACATTTTACCAATATATCATATATAGAATATATACGGACCGCTATATACTATAAATGTTAATAGAAAGGGTATATTATTTCGAATTGTTGGAATGACTTTGTGTATAGATGTTATAGGAAAAGGTATAAAGAAAATAAATATTAAAATAACTCCTTTGAGATTATTTATACAAAAAACGCCTAGATTTAGCAATTATAATGAATATCCTATTGATACTAGATCTATACAAAAAAAGACGGATAATCTTTATAATTACAGTGATTTTTAATAATAATAATAAGCTGATAATGCTTTAATGTTTTATTGATTTGAGAGCATAAGCTAATATTATACAATAAAGCAAGTATATCGAATGGGATTGGATCCCTACCAAAAAAAGCATTTTCTTTGTATCAATAAATGGTATTGTAATTGCATTGTATAGGGACCATAAATTTCCTGTTAAAGTGAAAAATAAAAAAGGGGAAAAGAGAATCTATACTCATAGCTTCACATCAGTAATACTGGATCTATTACGGATAGATGTTATTCTAGGTCTCCCGTAATTACAAATAGTTAATCCTAATATCGATTAGAAATCGATGTTACTCCGATATTGTTTTATTTTAAGCAATCTTGAGATTATTCCTACAAAAGAATTTTACCGGAAAATGAAGAAAGGTAAAACAGTTTTTGCGATTTTTCTAGATAAAATAATCTTGTAATTAAAAATAAAAGGGGACTGTCTGATACTCACATTGACCTCACATGAGATACCAAAAGAATTTTAGAAGTACAAAAAGGTTTTCTCGGAAAACAAAAATAACCTTTTGCCCAAATACCATCCAATAAAACATCACATTGACCTCGAACCCGATTCGACCCCCCCTTGGAGCCCGATTTATTCCTTATCAAAAAAAGAATCAGCAATACTACAAGAGTACCTAGATAAATACCAAAGAAAAGAATAAATAAAAAGATCTATCAGCTCGGTAGGGGCGCCTATCATATTTGTTTCAAAAAAGAAGAAAGGCCATCGACTATATATCGACTATCGAAGGCTTAACCAGATTATTAGAAAGGATTGAACTCCCCTACCTCTTATCAATAAATTCCTAGATTGATTTCGATAAAATATTATATTCATTAAGCTAGATTTACAGAATACTTATTATTGAATCTGTATAAGAGCGGGGGATAAATGGAAAACTGCATTTCGCACACAGTATAACCAATATGAATATAAAATAATACCTTTCAGTCTTACCAATACCCCTACGATATTTTAGATATATATCAATCAAACCTTATCCGGCTTGATGAATAATATTTGTATAGTGTATCTTAATAATATTCTAATCTACTTAAGAGATAGAGCTATATATACAACGGATATCCGAAAGGTTCTTGTGCGATTTATTGAATATAAGTTTTATACAAAGCTAAAGAAATGTATTTTTTATACCAATAAGGTAGAATTCCTGGGATACATTGTTTCGCCCGTAGGCGTTATTATAAAACCAGGTCGCATTTAGATTATAGTAGAATAGCTAATATTCAATAGCCTTAGAGATATACAGGTATTTCTTGGTTTTGCAAACTTTTACCGATGGTTTATCAGGGCCTACTTGGCAGTGGCTCACAATATAACTGTATTATTGAAGGGAATGAAGAAAGAAAAAATAGTAATCGAATTCAAATAGATTGATAAAATATAAAAGGTATTCGAAGCATTAAAGAAAGTCTTTATATTGGTATCTATTCTTCGGCATTTTGATTTCTTACTTTGTATAATGATTGAAATCGATGTGTTGATCTTTACTTTGGGTTACGTATTGTTATAGTTCTTTTTGGAAGGAATCAAAAAGGCATCAATCTAATGGTGGTATTCTATTGCATTTTATTTGAGAAAGCTGAATCCAGCAAAACAACAATATTTTATTTATGATTAAGAATTACTAGTAATATATACCGCTTTCGTATAGTGGTGTTATTATGTAATAGGGAATCAACATACTGTTATAATTAAATCAGACCACAACAGCTTCCAGCATTTTATAATAAAGAAAAGTCTGAATGACTGGTAAGCAAAGTGGGTGGAGGTTTTGGTTGTATATAATTTCGAGATAGTATATAGGACTGGAAGATTGAATCCTGTAGATGGGCTGTTATACTGCTCTGATTATGCTGTTGATACGGATGGTATAAATGATATGCTTCCAATTTTTCAGAATAAACTAAAGAATAGGTTGATGATTATAAATCTGTTTCAAAGTTCTTCTGTTAAGAAGATAGAATCTTTGTGTAACGTTATAGGTCTTTTACAAAGGGAAGGGTATGGTTTATTGTTCTGTGAATTTAAGTGTTCATTGGTTGAAACTGGTTGTAAACAATCAATACCATGTCGGATAGCTTGTATTTTAGCAGGAGACGAAATAGTATTCGAGTTAGTATTAGAAATAATAAGAAATGCTTTATTATATTTCTAAGTGGATAATGATTTTATAAAGAATAAAGAGTATCTGAATTAAAGATTATATTTTACTAAAATCACTTTATTTTAACAGATGGGCGTTAATAGGCTTTTTAGATATAATGGGAATACTTATATACCGTTAGACTCTATTTTGAGAGTAAAGATCTTGGAAGTCTATTATGATAACCTTATAGATAGATATTAAGGTATTTCTAAAATTTTAGAAATCTTGAAATCTAAATACTTCTAATCTTTAATGAGGAAGGATGTAAAAATGTATATTAAAATATATATGGTATATTAGTGTATTGCTGTTAAAAGGTATAAGCCTTATGGCGAGTTATAGATTTTTCCTATTTCTTATAGATTTTGGAAAAAGATAATTATAGATTTTATTACAAATCTACTTTCATCAAAATTGGGTAAGTATGTATATAATATGATTTTAGTAATTATTGATAGGTTTATGAAGCTTACCCAATACATACCCGTTAATAAAATAATTACTTTACTGAAATTCGTTTAAATATTGATGTAGAGTGTGTTTAAGGACTTCAGGGTACTGGAAGGTATTGTGTTAGATAGGGGATTACAGTTTGCAAGTAAGTTTTAGAATAGTTTTCTTTTTTATTTATGAATATAATATAAGTTGTTTATTATATTCCATTTTCAGATTAATGAATAAATGGAATAACAGAACTAGAATCTGATTTATTATATCAATTGTTATTTTAATTATTGATAAAACAATTGGTTTTTATTATTATTATTTGTAGAATTTATTTATAATGCTATATGGTATAGTATAATAAATACAAGCTCATTTTAAGCGATATACAGATTCCTACCAACATTCCATTATATCAACAAGGATACTGATGCTATAGAAAAAGTATTAGTAACATGCAAGCGAATTACCTCCCTCAATGAAGAAAGGGAAAAATTGAGAAAACTGTAGTAAGCAGTTATAAATCGAAAATTAAAGGATATAAATAGTATAATAACCTAGCGATACAATATCGGAGATAAAGTGATGTTAAGTATTTGAAATATCAAATAATTTCGATTTAAAAAGAAGTTTTCAAACAAATTCATAGGTCCTTTTCAAGTAATAGATATAAAAACTAATGGTTAAGCATATAAACTTAAACTATCATCTATCTATAAGATTTATAATATCTTTTACATTTCCCTACTGAAATTATAATATAAACAATAAAGTACCGCTAACCCACTGCTACCAAAAGAAATAGATGATTATTTGGAATACAAAATGGAGAAGATTATAGCATATAGAAAAAGAGGTAGAGGTGTTCAATACTTAGTTTGATGAAAAGACTATCAACCAACAGAAGATATGTAGAAAGCCTCCCACAATCTCAACAATGTGAAAGAAATATTGGAAAAATATAATAAAAGAAAAGAACTATCAATATACAATTTAAAAAAAAAAAGGAAAAAAGCTATAAGATAATAGGGTTCCACTATATATTCACAAGCGAACCACTAGTAATATAAAGTTGTTTGTAATGTTTTTCCCTTTATTTCTTTTTATTCTAATAAGAATAAGGATGTAACTCTTTATTTGCTAATATACTACATACTATTGCTAAATACATTAATTCATTTTGATGTTTTTGGAATGTTTTAGGCTTCAATTTATAAGTATTAGAGTTGATATTATTTAAATCTTTATTGGTATTTGGCTGATAAGATTATTGCTATTTCTTTTATAAAACCTCGTTCTTAACAAGAGTATACCTTTGATTAATATAAAAACGCCATTATAAAGGTATTACTATATTAACATATTAAAAAAGTCCTATAACAAGAATTAATCCTTTTATTCTATATATCAAAAAGATTCGGTGTAGAAAGGAGAATTTTAAAGATAGTATTATCTATATTGCTATTATTTCGTTCACCCTTATTCGCTGAAAACATATCCACTTTATTCTTATCCATACTTTCCTTTTTTTTTATTTTTACAAAAACCTTACTGGATTTTCGAACCTTTGTTAATGGGTTATTAGCAATCTGCAGGTATTTACAGAATCGAATACTTTCAAAAGAACTTATAATAACATTAGACTTTTTAATATAAACAAAACAACTCATATGAGAAGCCTTAGCTTTTGGCGGAGTATTAGTATTCCAATGTTGAGAATTAGAAAGGGAATTAGTAATAATTGATACTGTTTTTTGTTTCGAAATTATACAGGAAGCTTTACGAAAAGAAAGGATGGCTTGGATGACCGAATTTTTGGTAACAAATCGATAAATAGAAGTTATCAAATTTCCGATAGTATGCTTTTTTGTTTAAGAAGTAATAATATTAATATTACCTTTAGAAATATGGGGAATATCAGAATATTGAGGAGTATTGGTAATCTGGTAGAAAAAAGGGTTGTTTTCTTTATTACTATTAAGATTAAAAAGAAACTTATCAGAATATCTAAAGCAATTCTTTTTAAATATAAAAGAACAAATATAGAAATGGGGACAAAACAACGATTGAATATCGATATGAAAAGAAATGCAGCCCTCCAAACTAGCTAGTATATTTATGGCATCTGGAGCCTTACCTCCTAAAGAAATAGAAAACAGAACAGGAACATTGATAATATAGGGGTGAATAACCAGAATCATAAAGTCGCTTTTATTATTCGAATCTATTGTGACTATTAGTTTTATAACAGAGTCTGGAATAGTAGTATCTAGTGTAAGCAAATTATTCTAGAATCTAAAGAAATCAGCTGAGTATTATTATGGGGAGATGAAGGATGACCAACAACAGCTCGATAAAAGTCTACAAGGCGCTCCATGAGATTGCCTATTCGATCCAATTTCTTTATGGCAAATAGAGATAATGCCTCGAATGACTCTAGCTTTTTAGTATTATTCTGTTTATCTTTCTTTTACAAAAAGGCCTTTACATTCCTGATATAATGTTCATTTCGATATACTATTACAGTTTCGGTGTTCTCTTTCTTTTGACTATCAATAAGAGTAGCCTACCAAAAAACTTGAGTTTGATATAACAAATTGATATCGGGAATATATCGGGGAGATATTGACTAATAAACCTTTTTCTGGGTATAACAATAGCTACACTTAGTGTGAGAATTCTTATCGTAATAATAGAAATCTTTGGGGGTAAAGGATGCAATATACTTAGAGTAATAAAGATATATAGGGATAATCAAACCAACAAAATCTATTACAAATCAAACCACAATCGCCTAGGGATCGATAGATTGAAGGGTAATTATAATAAAATAAGGATTAATAAAAAGATAGTAAAAAATAATTTGTTAGAAGAGAAAACGAATTCAAAAAATTGGAAGGAATTTATAAAACCCCTGGTGATTTACTAATGAAAGCGGTGAATGTATTGAAATGTTATTTATTGATTATTTGTAGCTTTATAGTATTCTTATTTCCTTTTGGTATACGGTATGGATGTAATTACTCGGCATCCCATTTTTTTATATTATACAAGTTAAGTTTGGAAGGTAAACATATACGTTTTGGGATATAACATGCAATATAGGGGGCTTTGTTATGGTTAATCTGTATAAAAACTAGCGAGGGTACATGAGTAACCCCTATAGAACTATTTTGGGCCGATGCCAACCCGCGCACAATTATAAATTATAGAATTTTTATAGTTTAAAAGGATTAATGAAAAGTCTTTGTGCTACATTACACCTAGTTGATTTATTGCTATTATCTACTCTAACAAAATACTAAATACTAAATACTAAATACTAAATACTAAATACTAAATACTAAATACTAAATACTAAATACTAAATACTAAATACTAAATACTAAATACTAAATACTAAATACTATCAAATTCTAATATATAATAATAATACTATATCTTCACTACACCACATCCATTATACTACATCCATTATACTACACCCATCACACCACACCACATCCACCACACCACACCACACCACACCCACCACACCTCATTCATTATATCACACCCATCCCATCACATCATCCCATCCTATCCACCATCCAAGAAGATCTCCTCAAGTATCTATGCTTAGATAGGTATGCAGAAATAACTTTCTATTCTCTATTCTCTTCTCTTCTCTTCTCTTCCCTCCTCACTCTAACCAATCATCTCTCCTCTCCTCTCCTCTTCTCTTCTCTTCCCTCCTCACTCTAACCAATCATCTCTCCTCTCCTCTCCTCTTCTCTTCTCTTCCCTCCTCACTCTAACCAATCATCTCTCCTCTCCTCTCCTCTTCTCTTCTCTTCCCTCCTCACTCTAACCAATCATCTCTCCTCTCCTCTCCTCTTCTCTTCTCTTCCCTCCTCACTCTAACCAATCATCTGATTACCTACATAGTACGCACATACGCAGTACAATACAATACAATACAGTATCATCCAGTTCAGTTCAATCCAATTCAGTTCATCTACGCATAAAATCCCATTTATTGAAACTTTCATTTCCGCGCTGTTCTCTCCTCTCCCTTCCTCTCCATAACCATATCTATTCTATCATCTAGACATATCCATCCAGAATCCATATCATCTCATCTCATTTCATCTCATCCATTACGTCGCTGATAGAAATAGAGTACAATAACAATGCAGACTAGGTATCTCTTTTCCATACCCACCATCACGAACCAGGTCATCCTTTTACCTATTCATCCCCACCCATCCATCAATCCATCCCTCATGTATTAGTAACAAAGTAGAAGTAGTATTGTAATGTAATGTAACTTTCTCCCATTCATCTCCTTCTCCTTTTTTGTGCATTCGCTTCCTAGACCAAAACCCAACCAACCCCCGAAAAAGAAAAAAAGGAAAAATCGCTTCATCCTCATGGCATAAAGAGGCATGCAAAAGGAATGTATTAATTGGTAGTTTAGGTTCCGAAGTGAAAGACCAAGATAAGAAGTGAAGGTGGTAAAATTGAACCGAATGAATTGAATCTTGTTACATAGGATCTTGATATCCTCCAGTACTCAAAGAAAAAGGGTTCCGGTTTTTCACCCTAAGCATAATACAAAGCCTCGACGAGATAGATAACTCCGAAGATCAAAAAGGCAATTGCGCCTCCTAATGTTACTGCAAAAGAGTTAGTTTAATGTATGATAGCATAATGCAAAAAGAAGAAACTTACCAACTCTCAAGCTAACCTTGCCAGCAATAGCTCTCCCACCAATAACAGCTACACCAGTACAGACTGCATGTCCACTCACTGCTCCTCCAGTTACCCACCAATAATCCTGACCAGCCGCCATAGCAATGGTAGCAATTTGACTTCTATCACCCCATTCTCCAAGGAAAGTCATTACAAAAGTTTGAACCCATGCTGGACTAAGTAATAACGAAAGAAGGTTATTCAAGCCTCCTGCTGCACTTTTGAATGTTGATCTCTTAGGAGAAGGGGATCGATCTGAAGAAGTTGAAGGACTTCTTGGTGGAGAAGGAAGACGTGATCCTGATCTAGATTTTCTTGTGCTTGCTCTTTGCCCTCCTCCAAGACCCATTTCCAAAGCATATGGAGAAACTGATGAACGTCTTCTTCCTTGTTGTTTTGCAAGATGTTCTTTTTCTTCGAGTTCCATTTCTACTTCTTTCATTTCTTCAGTTACACCCTCATCTGGACTCATGGCTAAACCTTCTTTCAATAAACGTCCTCCGAAAATCAAGAATAATCCTGCAGCGAGGAAATTGGTGAATCGTTTTGGAATCAAGGTAGGTACTGCATGGCCTAATACTGCGGACAAGATTGTCATAGCAATCAATGCGGAAAAGGCGGCGGAAAATACGAGAAGTCTATCGTGCTTCATCGCCATCAATGCTGCAATTAAAAATGTTTTGTCTCCGATTTCAGAGAATAAAATCATTGTAAGTGAAAGAAGATATGAATGTAAAGGTTGAATAAGACCATCATTGCCCTCTCCTTCTAATTCAAGCTTTGGAATGCCCTTTGAATCGGGTTTCGTAACATCCAAATGATCCTTGTTGGCAGAATTAGGAATTGGATGAGGATCATTGTGTGTCTTGTCTGGAAGATCTGTAGGTTTATCCAATCCAAAGTTATCAGTGCTGCCAGCCTCCTTATCATCAGCGGAACCCTTTTTAATCGTCGAATCTTTCTTCTGCGGATCTTTGATGTCGCCTTGAATTTTTTGTTCGGTATCGTGAGGTATCGGTGGTGCTTCTTTAGGTGATGCAGGTTTCTTTTCAACCTTCTCTCCCGTTTGGCTTTCTTGACCCTTTCGCGTCTTATCTTTCTCACTCACACCTCCCTCAGTACCAGTTGTGCCATGTTTAGGTGCCTCTCTCCCTGGATCGTTCATAACTCCATCGTTGCTTTGGGGGATTTCTTTGCCATGGGCATCAAGCATTGGCTTCTCTTTGGTTGTTTTGGCTGTAGGTGGGACCAATTCTCCATCACTAAGCTTAGAATTGGCAGCTTTGGCATCTTTTGAATCCTTAGCATCTGCCTTTTCACTTGTTGCAGAGTCCTTCTTGGGATCCTTTTTGGTGGTATCTACAAATGGCCCAGCATGTGGTTTTCCATCTTTACCATCGACGGGCGCATCTTTCGTACCAAGTCCGTATGATGGTTTATTATCGACGGTAGTTGTCACGGCTGCTGATGGATCAACCTTGTCCAATTTTCCTGTTTGCGCATCGGTATCCTTCGAAACGGCAGCTATATTATCTTGTGCTGCAGGAGATAGAGCTAGAGCCAATGATGGCAATAAAAGTAGAAGCAAAGGGGATTGCTTTCTCCGGAATCTCATCTTGAATTATATTTTTGATAGAGGTTGGCAGATGTAATGAGAAGGTAGTTGAGGTGTAGAAGAGGTGTAATCAGGGGATAGATAGTAGGTAGTTATTGTTGGATGTGAGGATGCGTAAGGCGTCAATGGGGGAATTGTATGAGGAAGAGAACCAATGACGTGTCTAGTAGGTTTTAAATGTAAGTTCAATAGTTAATGATTCGTGGGAGATTGATCAAGCCGTACCTTGAATTGAAATTTCAACGAGAGGTCTGGTATGAAAAATAAAAAGGTGTATTAAGAAGAAGAAGAAGGTTTCAGATAGTAGTAGTAATAGTCGAATTCGTACGATGGGATGTATCAAGATAATCCGGCAACCCATGGATACGATAATATTTGTTCAGAGCACCGAAAGAGGAAACCTGAAGGAAAAGGTATCCGCTTTTTCCTTGTGGCTGATGCTTTTTTAGTCAGCTTGAATGATGATTGGTTCAATTGAATGATATTGGAAGCAGTATTTATTAATAGATATCGTTTTCTAACATTTTGGCGGTTTTGGGAAGTGCAAGACCAAGGGGTACCTGTTGGGTGGCTTCGGAGGATTCTTCTGGACCCATAAAGTCTCAAGGTTCATCTCACACCTGCACTTGGCACGTGACTGGACACTGGACTTCTCCGTAGATAGGGGAGAATATGAGGCGTCAAAGGGCGTTGAGGCGTTGAGTTGAGGCGTTGAGTTGAGGCGTTTGGTAAGGAAGATCTAAGATGCCCGTGGACCGGTGAACCCCTGAACTATATGCGAATGGGAGAGAATATATTACATGTCATTATTCATATTACAAGTAACAAATGCTCAGGTCGATCAACAACTGTATACAAATAACCTTGGAAAGCAACACTACAACTACAACATCTAGATCAGTTGAAGCTTCTCAGGAGAAGATACTCAGATATTTAGCCAGTTAACCCTCCCCCTCTCCCCCCTGATCCAAGGTCCTAATCAAGAAGTCAATGATTGACATTGAAGAGGTAAGGGTAAGAACTCTATTTGCATTCTACACATATTGGTTCGTCTAGACCATTCTTTGGGAGCACGAATGCAGGTAGAATGCAGGTAGATAGATGTACATAGAATTGGAGAGTGGAATTGACTGGATCAAATAATGGAAAAGCTTCCTATATTCGTCGAAATTGTACTATCCAGGTACCTTACTATCTCTCTCTCTCTCTCTCTCTCTCTCGTATTTGACTTCTTAGAAATTAACAAAGCAATACTCTATCGTACAGAACTTGAATTGACATGGTACACACCTAGGTATCCATGATTCCTTTGAAACTTGCTTTGATATGCTTCTTGTTCTCATTCTTTCCATATTGAAGTGGTTTGTCTGAGAACTATTTGTCGAATTCTTATCCCTACCCAATGTACACTTTACACCTTTCCAAGGTTAACATTGCTGCTTTCCAGGTTTGAACCGTCCACGGCAAAAAGGCTAGAAGAATATCTAGCACGTGATTGCGCGACTCTGTAGCCTCAATTTTCAGGTCCAACGTCGTTCCCCCACTTCCTACTGCAACCTTCACCCACAATCTCCACCCAGCAACACAACACAAAACGCGTCAATTCATCCACACAACAATATCAACTCCACACATCTACACTAACAAACACCATCGCAACATTCACGATAAGATATAAATCCTATTGCGCCAAACTCCTTTGGGTACGGTTAATCCTTTGATCGTCGCATCAGGATGTTCGAGATGGCTCGAACATCTGCGCGGTCGGTGTCGCGAGACCTCCCATCTTCACCACCAACCAAACCCGCAAGTCCGATTCGAAGAACCACGCGAACAACTCGTAGCCAAAGTGTAGACTTGGATGCTCATAGACCTCGTCAAGAAAGTATTGAGAGTACGGGTGATAAAAATGAGCAACAGAATTCTAGGGGTGGTCGCAGAGCTGCTCGCAAACAAGCACTCGTTCGAAGAGGTTAGCATCCTTTACATTATGTTTGTTGATTGTTGCTTACGAAATATAGAATTGTCGATGGTTGCAGAAGACAGAGAAGTCTCATCCGAGGAGGAAGATGCTGAACAGGCCAAGGTGGACGAGGATCCTGAAGCTGGTGAACAAGCCGACGATGAGGAGGATCCTGAAGCTGGTGAACAGGCCGATGAGGAGGAGGATCCTGAAGCTACCAAGGTGGCAGACCAAGAGGAGGAGGATCTTGACACAACCAAGGTCGCAAGTGGTCAGGAATACGATTCAGAAGATGAAGACCACAGCGATTTCTCAGACGATACGCGTACAACATCACATACAAAACGGGTCATGCAAATAATCCATTCCAGATCGGCTATTGAGACCCTCCCGGATCTTTACAATACTGCTCAAAGCATTATCAGCAAATCTACCAAGAAAGATATTCGCCCTAAAGAAATGGGTCGTCATCTTAAAGCTTTGGAATCCCTTTCTAATGGACTTGAGGTTTATAAAGAGCCATATGGAAGAGAGGAGTTTATCGAGGTTGATATCGTTTTGGAAAAGGTCTCTGGGGCATTAAATGCTGCAAGTCTCGGCTCAAGTGATCTCGGTGATTGGACTACTCCTTTTGCTGCAATTCTTCAATCAGCGAATCTTGCAACTCTTCTGGGCCAAGTTATTCAACTTCGTGAGGATAATGAAGTTTCGCAACAAGATTTGATGTTATTTCTTCAATCTCTAGAGAAAATGTTTCCTCGCCCATTCGTGTCTAAGTTTGCAGCGCCTACGGATCTCGGATCGGAAAGCAGTAGATTGATCAACGAAACTCACGCTATTATGTTAGAGATACGAACCCAGCTTTTTGAACTTACTGCTCGTCAGTTAGAACCCGGCCTGAATTTCAATGCTACTGAACTCCTAAATTCTTGCTTTGAGGGTGGTTTAAAGAAAAAAGACATCAAAACCAGCGAGAGGGTGGACATTATCCGCAGCATGTTTTTGCCTCCAGACCAAGCAAAGGACTCGGGTAGGTATGTCGACTTTGAGCGCTTGAATAAATCATTCCCAAGATCCAAATTCTTCAATGACCTTGTCGATTATGGCGAAAAGCGCTGGCTTGAGGTAGGTATGATCGTAGACAACAGAGGTGGTATTGATAATGTGATGGTGCCATTTGAAGAAGTTGTTAAAGATATTCCATCCGATGCCGAAGAAGAAATTGTTAAAAGTGGCCAACCCGACTCCGAACCCGAGATTCGTGCAGACTACGAGCCGGAAGTATTAGAACGTGACGATAGTACAATTTCGGAAAGGGACCGTCAAGCATCCGCACCCAAAAAAAGAAAAGAGTAAGAATTTCTTCACCTTTTATACAAGACTTGTCTTTACATTCCAATAGTTCAAAGAAACAAAATCTTGCTAACAATTTCTTAGCTTTCATGACAACCCGAGTGCTATAACGAAGCTTGTCGGTCTCAGAAAGATGGCAGGAAGTCGGAAAAGTGGTGATATAGAAGTCAGCTCTAGCTTTCCAGCTTCGTCACAACCACAACAGCAGAAACAGGACTCTCAAATTACCCAATATTTCAAGAAATACAGCGATTCCCAGAACAAAGAAAATAAAAGCCCTGAACAACCCCAGGGATCTCGAGGTCGTCCATTGATAATGGCTACTACAAAGCGTAGTGGGATGTATAGGAAGCACTCGAATGCCCAAAAAGTGGGTTGGGAGGAGGACAGTCAAGGGTTTCCTATAGATTCTCAGGCGGATGATCCGGAACCATCTCAGCCTAGAAATAACAAGCGCAAATTTCCTCCTCCAAACCTTCAAGTGGAAGATGAAGTACCTCAAGCATCCCAACCAAAAACCAACAAGCGTAAAGCCGGCGACGCAAATATTTTGTCGGATGATAAAGACAATAACTCAGATAACGACTTTGAAACCGACGAAAGAAAAACGATACCCGGGCGTAAAATTGCTGCACCTAAATCTTCAGCCCGGCCCAGCAAACGAGCACGTACCGAAGAAGGTGAAAGTTCCCGAGTGCAAGATTCGCCCAGAAGAAAAATTTCAGGAGAAGCCTCCGCACCACCCGAAGTCCAGTCAGATGATGACAATCATAGCGAGGATCAAGGCTTTCAAGCCGATAGAAATTTACCTAAACCCAAGACTCAACGTAGCAAAGAAGCGCATACCGAAGCTGGTGAAAGCACTCGAGCACAGATTCCACCTCGTAAAAACAGAGGTCCATCACCAATTTTAGCCCCTGAGAATGACGATGACGAACAAAATCAAGAAGACCTAGAACAGGAGTTACAACACAGGCAAGAGCTATCTCGACCACCTCAAGTTCCAGACGATAATGAAGGTAGTGTGCAATTACCTCTGGAAGATCCTCCAAGCACTGTCGCACATTCATTTACCCAAGCCAGCGCTCTAGAAAATGTAAGAACAACAGCAATTAAGAATGGTTTTGGTGTATCACAAACTCGTACCCCATGGTCTGATGAAGATACACAACTTCTTATTGACTACATTGGTGATCTCGGTCCGTGGTGGACAGAGATTGAAAAACGCGGTGAATTCGAACGTGATAACATCACTCAGGTTGGTTTGAAGGATAAGGCGAGAAATATCAAGGTTGATATGTTACTGTAAGTGGATTAACCCTGACCCTAAACTTAACCCTAACCCTTGTTTCCAATGCGATGCGATGTGCATGTCAATTTCAGAAGTACTAACATTGGAATCAATACAGAGCTGGCCAAACACTTCCACGTAATTTCACAGGGGTTAAACTCAATGCAAATTTAATTAAGAGGGTGAAGAGAACTTGGCCTGATTATGATCCCTATACTGATACGGGATATGGAACATTCTGATTATAACTATCGATCACTTATTCATCATATGATAATCAGACGCCGTTGTCTCCCAATGACCATGAAGTTGGTGAGCATTTTGAGACTTAAGTCGAACAAACGCGCTTCAGTGGAAAGATACTTTTATATCTTCTGACTCGGAGTGCGGTCTTATGGGATGGGATAAACCTTCAGATGTATGTATGTGTATTTGCCAGTGGTTAATGTGTTTATAAGGCGAGTTGAATTCCTGAGGTTGGCTGTAGTTATGGCGTCTTTATGGTGGATGAATGGCGTATTGGATGGGTGTCTAAATATCTATGATATGGATGTTACGTTGTGTTATGGGTATGAATATGATTTTGGCTTTGGTTCGTGGGTGGAATACTATCTATGTTTCTTGAGGAGTTTCAGGATGGGAAATGGATTTTTTTTTTAGTTTGAATTAGTTGGGATGAGTTGAATTGGGAATGGAATGAGATGAGATGGGTGGGATGAATAGGAT